TGATTGAATGATTTAACTGAACTATTAGTAAAGTCTTAGCAAAAATAACAAGCTATAAATACAAAGAATGAGATGAAATTCTTCCTTCTATATTACTAGTATACTGTACTATGAAGCATAGTATAACTAAATTTACACCATTCTCTCTAATCTATGATCATAATGCAAAATTACTAATAGAAACAATTATAGAAACCTATTATTGTGAAAATGAATCGTTCCAAGAAGCTCTCTTAAAAAGATCTTTTGAAATAAAAAATATATTATTGAAACAACAAGAAGAAGCTTTAGAAAATATTAAAGAAGCATAAAAAGCTCAAAAAGAGTACCATGACAAAAATATTAAAATTGACAAATTAAAAGTTGGTGACAAAGTTCTAGTTGCCAAATCGTTTCTTAAAAATGGTTTCTCTGCTAAATTAGAGGAACAATTCATAGGCCCTTATATAATTCATGATATATTAGATTTTGGAGTCTATAAACTACAAACATTAGATAGCAAAAAAGTTAAAGATCCAGTTCATAGTGATTGCTTAAAATTGTACTATGAAAAAGAAATTAAAGATCTATCTGTACCTCAAATTATCATCACACAAAGTAACAGTCCACAAACAAAGATCGTATAACCTCAACTTTTATAAATATACTCTTTGTTCTAGCATTTTCTCTAAAAATCCCTAAATCTTGAAAATCCTTTAATAATTAGTCTAGAAATTTTATTTTTAGTTTTATATATATAATCTTTTATATTTCTTATTATTTGAATGTAACAAAATGCAGCAATTAAATGAATCTCTTTTTAACCAATTCTCTACCGAAGCATTGCAAGAGATGTAACAATTTTTGAAAAAATAAAAACAACAAATACATGGGGTAAAATCAATAGAAATGGGACAAATTTATTTAATAAATTTGTCTCATTTCTATTAACTTCACCCCATATGGTGAACAAACCTTAGAAATTGATCAAAAAACTATTATAGTGATCAATAATAATGAAATAAAAATTGCAATATCTATCGATGAAATGCTTAAAGATACTTGTAATGATTCTCTGATATATGAGTCCTTATTCAAAAAATTTATTAATCATGAAGATTGGAAAACACTTCATCACATCACCATGCCAAATCTTGATGAAGTTAATGATTATAAGTGGACCACTTTAAGTCCCAATAATGATGATGCAAAATGAAACGAGGAAGTTAACAATGAAGAACCTTCTGTTAACAAGCATAGAGAAGGAAGGTCTATTGGGGAAGAGTTCTATGATGAAGATTCTCCGCTCGACAAAATAACGTGAAATTTAAACTGAAGCCCTATAGAAGAAAATATACCTGTCTCTCTTTTTACTAGAAATGATGAATTGTTAATTTTCAATCAAATTGTTAAAGCCTATAAGAAAATTAGAAGAAACAATAACAACTGAATTTCTTGATTAGAAATAGTATATTATCTGGGAAAGCTATTCACCAATAATAGCAATAATAACCAATTGAAAAAAAAATTTAACAGAATATTATTGGAAAAATTTAGAAAATCTGGTGCTAATCGACTTTGAACTCAAGCAACAAGAGTTTACACTTTGTTTTAAAAATATAAGCTTAATAAACTATATAACTCATTAGAAGTATATATTGTAGATTTTGAGAAAATAACAGCCAAACAATTTAAAAAATTAAAAAATTAAACTTTATTTTTTTTAAAAAAAGAAATACAAATTACAACTCCCCATACCTAAAAACTTGGTATCCCTTATTAAGGCAATACTTCTTCATTGCCTTAATTCTATTAACAATTTCCTTTTTCTTCTTACCAACTAAGATGACAAAGCATCTTGACTTAATACTCCTGCCATTCGAAGTTGTTCTTCAACAGATGCTAGTTGACGAAAAAAGATTTGATACTCTTGCTAGAAACTTATAAAAAAAAAAAAAAATTTATTATTTTCTTTATTATTACTATTATTTTTATGAGTACGAGTCAAAATCCTGACAAACAAAATCCCAACAGGTCATTATCCTGACAAAAAAATCCTGACAACCAAAATCCTGATAGCTAAAATCCTAACACTAAACTGCCAGTTAAAGCTGTTTTCAAGAAAAAGATGCAGATCATTTTATTTCGAGAAATTCACTAAATTCCCCAGATTTCCGGAAAATTGTTATTCACATCTTTTTAAAAACAGCTATAAAACTACTTTTTATTTTTTTGCTTTTCTTATTTTCTATTTTTTAATTTTATTATTATTATTTTTTTTACTTTATTTAGACCTGGTTCTTTTTTTTAAGCTTAGAACCAGAACCCTGTAAGATTAGTTTTTTTATTATTCTTTTTTTCTTACTACTTTAAGTTCTTTTAATTTTCTTTATTTTTTTTTCATTTAAACAATATTAACTATTTTCTTCTGTTGGTTTAGCTTTACTAGAACACTGGGATCGTAAATAATTTTCTTTTTGTTGAATATTTGTATATTTTTTTTTCTTGTTTAAACTACTGCTAATTCTCTTCTTCTGTGGTTTTAGCTTCGCTAGAACACCGGAAGTGATTAGAACTAGGATCATATAAGTAGTTTTCTTTCTGTGCCTAACTTTGCTTGAACTAATTCTTTTTCTTTTTGTACATTTGGCTTCACTAGAACACCGGGGGTGGGAATCTTGTAAGTATTACTTCTTGCTTTTTTTTTCGCTTGAACTAATACTAGATCTTTTTTTTTTGTGGGTTTAGCTTTGCTAGAACACCGGGGTGGAAATCTTGTAAGTATTTCTTCTTGTATAATTGCTTTTTTTTCGATTGAGCTAATATAATTTTTTTTTTTTTTGTGAGTTTAGATTTGCTAGAATACTGGGAGTTAGAATCTTGTAAGTATTTCTTCTTGTATGATTACTTTTTTTTTTGCTTGAACTAATGCTAATTTTTTATTTGTTTTGTGGGTTTAGCTTCACTAGACATCAGGAATGAAGATTAGAACTGAGAACTTATAATTTTCTTTGGTATTTGTCTTTTTTTCTTTGGTTTGGACTAATGCTAATTCTTTTTTCCCTTTGTGGGTTTAGCTTCACTCAAACACCAGAAGTGAGGGTTAAAATCAAGATCTCGTGATATAAGTAGCTTTTTTTTTGTCTTTTTTCTTTTTCTTTCTAACATTTCTTCATGTTTGAACTAATTATTTTTTCCTTTTGTGGCTTTAAGTTTTGTCGGAACGTGAATTATTGAATTAACACTGGGTAGTGATCTTATATGAGGCCTTTCTAATCTAAAAAGTAAGTTTTTGCTTAGTATTTTGCTTAATATTCTTACAACCAATTATTAACACTTTCTTCTTTCTTCAACCGAAGCTTTTTTCTACGTGGTTGTTACTTCAGCTGTTTATCATATTTGGCTGACAAGCCTTATGTATTATAACCGAATTTTTATAGCCTCATATTTTGTGGCATTTTTGGTTCTTTAATCATGAGAGTTATAATTAAAAGAAAAAAATTTAATAATTAATACTTCTAAATATATCAAACATAAGTGCAAACAGAATATTTCTGACATTGCTAATAGTATAAAACTTTGTTAACAAATTTATTTTATAAAAATGTAATCTATTTAAATTAAATAAATATTAAATAAATTATTAAGTAGGGTTTATTGCATTAGTGCAAAGTTAATCATAATAAAATATAGCTATAGTCTTGCAAAATTATTGCAACTTCAATCGCAACAATACTTTCCATATACTGTATCATAATTATTAAATTTCCATTAATACACAATTGCCATAGCAAAAATAATATATTCAAAGAAAATTGCACCTTAAATTCCCGTGAACAAAAAACAATGCTACTATAATTGAGGCTGTAAAATATTCATTTAAAACACTTGAAGCATGTCAGCCAAGTATAGATAAACAGCCAATGTAAACAAACATGAAGTTATAAAGTTAATAATATCTGATATACATTTCACGATGTATTAGAAATAGAAGATGGGGCTCAGGAAACATTAATTTGAGATTTTATTATTTTAAATAAGATAGAAGGCTGAAATTTTACATCAAAATTCAAAAAGCCTTTTAAAAATAAAAATTTTCTTGATAATTTTAAGATTCTTGGTTGTAAATTATTAATCAAAGCCTCCTTAATATATGTTTCGCAATGAATTAGAAAATAGATGATGGGGGCTCAGGAGATATTAATTTGAGATTTTATTATTTTAAATAAGAAAGAAGGCTGAAAATTTATATCAAAATTTAAAAAGCTTCTTAAAAATAAAATTTTTCTTGATAACTTTAAGATTCTTGATTGCGATAGAAGTAAATTATTGATCAAAGCCTCCTGTGCCTTCTTGCTTAACGAAAGTTATAAAAGTGCTACAATTTTGTCTTTTTAAAAAGCAAGCCTTTGAGTTAAAAATCCTATTAATAAATAAAACTTAAATTCCAAATATTGTAAATAAAAATTTTCTTGCAACTTATCACATCATGTCTCTGGCAAATTGCTTTATTTTATCTTTCATGTTTAATCTATTCTTCTCTTTGCTTGGCCCTACATTAACGTTTTCTTCACACCAAAGTTAATAAATATTTTTTTTTCTCTGTTTCATTATAATTCTTAAAAAATGGATGAAATCTGTAAAATTATACCTTCTCAAAAGAGAATAAATAAAATTAATATTCATGGTTATTTGATAGTAAAGGAAAAGAGCTGAGATGATATGTACTATTGGTGTTGTGAGAAAAGAAAATCAAATAAATGTAAAGGCCATACTACAACAAGACTCATAAATGATTTACACTACCTTCGAAAATTTAATAATCACAATCATGTACCACAAACGAGCAGTGCCGAAGTTGCAAAAAGCATTGCCCATATAAAGAATCAAGCTCAAGATACAAATGATCAGCCAGCCCAAATAATCCAAACACTATTATTAATATTCCAGGAGAAATCTATTTTTATATTCTGTTGCAAAATGCTTTGCGTGTATGAATTAAATGTACCAGAAGAGCAGACATGCCCCTACAACCACAAAGTCTTGATGATATTGATATTCTTGATTCACTTTGTAAAACATTAAGTGGAGAAAACTTTTTAGTAGGAGATTTTATAGTCAAAAAAGAGCAAATCCTCTTGTTTACTATGAAAGCTAACATATAGCACTTATCTGAATCATTTTACTGGATGATAGATAGCACCTTCAAGACCGTCACATCTATTTTTTGTCAATTGTATACAATTCACACTTCAGTAGGTACAGGGGACAACTCAAGGATTCTTCCTCTAGTATATGCATTAATAACCAAAAAATCAAAAGAATTATATAGAGCACTATTTCAGTATTTAATCGAATTTGTAGAAGAAAATAGTCTCTCATTAAAACCTACCACAATTCTTACAGAATTTGAACTCGCTGTGATCAATGCATCATGCATCAAATTTTTTAACATTAACAATAAATATTGCTTCTTCCATTTAGAACAAAGTGGCTAGAGAAAGATCCAAGAAAATAAACTATCAATTCAGTATGGTAAAGATGAGAATTTTAGCATCAAGCTGCGTAGTTTATTCGCATTAGCATTTTTACTATCAAATGAAATTTCTGCAGCCTTTGATGCTTTAAAAGAAGAAATGCCTACAGAAACTAAAGATATAGTACAATGGCTTGAGAACAATTATATATATGGAAAAAAAATAAGACAAATGCATAATGGTAATATTAGCAGTGCACCACCTCTTTATCCACCACAAATGTGGTCTGTACATAACTCCATGGAACTAGGTATTCCCCAAACACAAAACATTGTCGAAGCATGACATTAACGATGAGAGAATTTAGTTGGTAGACCTCATGTTGGTGTTTATACTATTATTGAAGAATTTCAAAAAGAATAGCAAAAAGTTGATCATGAAGTCGAAGCCATCATTCATAGTGCACAATATCCAAAACCTAAAAAAGGAATAATTGAAAAAGAAAAAAAAATTAAACCTTATTAATGATAAACCAAATCATCTATTAATAGAGTTTTTCCATAGAATAGCACACAACCTTTCTTTATAATTATCATTTTTTTTGATTTATACACATCTAAAATTTTTAAAATTTGAAATTTTTTGAATTTTAATTAGTTTTTTTATTTGTGAAATTAAAAAAAATTCTGTATTTATCTATTAAAAAGATAATATATAAAGTTGAAACCTTTACTTTTTAAATAAATAAAATTGTGTAAATTTACAAACCTAAGTTCAAAAAAGCAAAAATAATGATCCATAGTATTGTCTTCTTACAGAATTGTACCCACGCTTAGAAATTCATATAGCATACTCCTTATTATCTGTTATACCTATCTCTTAGTCATTATACTTCTTGCTCGCATTGTATCCTATAAGTATAAAATAGATCAATAAAGTAAGTTAAGACTAGAAAATGATCTAAAAAACAACAAACTTTAACCTATAAGAAATTTAAACTATGCTAAATACCCTATATTCGAATTAGACAATTTATTACTAGCTACTTGAAGAATTATTTGAAAGAAAGATAATAAATATTAAAAAAAGTCTAGTATATATCTACAGAAACCACAAATTAATCTAACCAAAATGAAAAATGTTCTCAGAAGAAGTATAATTCTAATTAGACCTAAAGAAAAAAAAAGTTAGTAATAATTACAAAAAAAAAAAAACAAAACTGTTCAAGGATCTCTATTTAGCTATAGGCCACAAGAACCTTTATTCTAAAGACTAGTAGAAGTCATTCTTTTGCATAGTTAAGATTTGGTAAATAAAATCTGAAAAAGAATAAAATAAAGTCAGTAATAATAATAAAATAAAAACAAGAATCAAATAAAGATCTCTACTTAGCTTCGGATCAAAGTTATGCATTCTTAAAGACTAGTAGAAATCTTCATTCTCTTATCGAAGTTATCTAATTAAGTAGAATCTAGCTTAAGCCTAAAAAAAAATAAAACTAAAAGCAATCAGAATGTTTTATCAACCTGTATTCATATAAACACACAGTATTAAGTAACACAGTAAACGCATTTGTTTGTTTGGATTTTTTGTCAGGATTTTTTATCAGGACTCTTAGTTGGCAGGATTTTTTGTCGAGATTATAACCTGTTGGAATTTTGTTTGTCGGGATTTTAACCCAAACCCCAATTAGCTATATCAATACCTCTCCTCTCTACAATTTGACTTGGATATCCCTAATACAAACAAACCTCAAATCCAAAAAGAAGCAAAATATTATTTTATAGAAAATAACAAATTATATAGAAGAAATCAAAACAAGTAATCAAATTAGACTAGAAACACTTTATTCTATACACTCTACATGATAAACAAGAAGTATATTTAGGTATATCATCTACCTATAACAAAATAAAAAAAAGATATTATTGGCCTACTATATACAATAATATCAAAAATTATATACAAACATGTGATATTTGCCAATATAGAGAACATGAAATTCAACAACAAGATTTAACCTCTCTAGAAGTAAAATATCTATTTCATAGAGTTGGGATTAATATTAAAAGACCTTTACTTCCTACCAAGCAAGGCAATCATTATTTTATCATCGCTATAGATTATCTGACCAAATGGCCAAAAGCAAGAGCCATAACTAATGTAAAAGCTACAACTATTGCTAAATTTATATATAAAGATATTATTATCGACATGGAATACCTACAATATTACTATTTGACCGAGAAACAAATTTTATAAGTAATATTGTTAAAAAATTGTGCAATAATTTTCAAATTAAAATTAAACATCATAAATTATCTGCTTACTGACTACAAACTAATAGGATGATTGAATGATTTAACTAAACTATTGGTGAAGTTTTAGCAAAAATAACAAGCTATAAATACAAAGAATGAGATAAAATTCTTTCTTTTGTATTATTAGTATACTATACTATGAAGTATGGTATAATGAAATTCATTCTATTCTCTTTGATCTATAGTCATAATGCAAAATTACCAATAGAAACAATTATAGAGACCTATTATGATGAAAATAAATTGTTCCAAGAAGCTCTTTTAAAAAGATTTTTTGAAATAGAAGATATATTAATAACACAATAAGAAGAAGCTTTAGAAAATATTAAAAAAGCATAAAAAGCTCAAAAGAAATACTATGACAAAAATATTAAAATCGACAAATTAAAAATTGAGAACAAAGTCCTAGTTGCCAAATTATTTCTTAAAAATGTCTTCTCTGCCAAATTAGAAGAACAATTCATGGGCTTTTATATAATTCATGATATATTAGATATTGAAGTTTATAAACTACAAACATTAGATGGCAAAAAAGTTAAAGATTCAGTTTATAGTGATCATTTAAAATTATACCATAAAAGAGAAATTAAAGATCTACCTATACCTCAAATTATCATTACACAAAGTAACAGTCTACAAATAAAGATCATATAACTTTAACTTTTATAAATACACCCTTTGTTCTAGCATTTTTCCAAAAAATTCCCAAAATCTTAAAAATTTTTTAATAATTAGTTTAAAAATTTTATTTTTAGTTATATATATATAGTTCTTCTTATATTTTTTATTATTTATTATTCAAAAACAATGCAAGAATTAAATAAATCTTTTCTTAACCAATTCTTCATCGAAGCATTGCAAGGGTTGCAACAATTTTAAAAAAATAGAACCAACGAACATATAGTGATCAAACTTTAGAAATTGATAAAGAAACTGTTATAGTGATCAATAATAATGAAACCAGAATTGCAATATTTATTGATGAAATGCTTTAAGATACTTGTAATGATTCTTCGATATATGAGTCTTTATTCAAAAAATTCATTAATCATAAAGATTGGAAAATACTTTATCACATCATCACACCAAATCTTAATAAAGTTAATGATTATAATTGGACCACTTTAAGTTCTAATGATGATGCAAAATGGGACAAGGAAGTTAACAATAAAGAATCTTTTATTAACGAGTATAAAGAAGGAAGATCTATTAAGGAAAAGTCCTATGATGAAGATTCTCCACTTGCCAAAATAACAAGAGATTTAAACTGAAGCCCTACAGAAGAAAATATACCAGTCTCTCCTTTTAATAGAAATAATGAACTAATAATTTTTAATTAAATTGTTAAAGCTTATAAGAAAATTAAAAAAAACAATAATAAATGAATTTCTTAATTAGAAATAGTATATTATTTGGGAAAACTATTTATTGATAATAACAATAATAATCAATTGAAAAGAAAATTTAACAGAATATTATTGGAAAAATTTAGAAAATCTGGTGCTAATCAACTTTGAACTCAAGCAACAAGAGTTTATACTTTGTTTTAAAAATACAAGCTTAACAAACTATATAACTCATTAGAAGTATATACTGAAAATAACTACCAAACAATTTGAAAAATTGAAAAATTAAACTTTATTTTTTTTAAAATGAGAAATACAAATTACAACTCTCCATGCCTAAAAACTTGGTATTCTTTACTAAGGCAATACTTCTTCATTGCCTCAATTCTATCAACAATTATCTTCTTTCTTCTTACTAACCAAAACAACAAAGCATTTTGACTTAATACTCCTGCTATTCAAAGTTGCTCTTGAATGGATGCTAGCTAATGAGAAAAGATTCACTACTTTTGCTAGAAACTTATAAAAAAAAAAAAAAAAAATTTCTATTATTTTTTTTATTATTACTATTATTTTTATTTGACTATTTTATATATACTATTGTTCTTCATCAAAATCTAAACCTTCAAGAATGTAAGAATAGGTTATTACTTCTTCTGAGACTTTTGGAATTACTTCTTCAGAAGCCACTTCTTTGGGAGCCACATTTTCTTGAACTAGTTCTTCCTGAACCAGCTCGTCATCATAGATAATGACAACCTCATTATTATTATTATTATTATTATTATTATTATTACTACTATTGGCCCTCCCCAAACCAGTACGCATGGTGGACAAGTTTTGTATCGGCTTTGGGAGTTTATCGGATTTGAAAAATCACGTGACAAGCTGATCACTAATCTACCAATCAAATTACGGAACCAAGATTATGTGTGGTAAAACCCATAGCACGTGATTAATAATACAAAATTTTTTTTTATAATACTGTATGTGCTATGATCAATAATAATCACTACATAGTAAAGCCCAAATTATACTATGCTAATTGATTAAAATCGCTTAAGAAACGTTGTTTAAGAGGTCAAAATACACTTACCCTGAAATTTTTATCCAAATTGAAAAACTTTTTATTAATTATTTTTTTATTTTTACTTTCAATGAAAAAATTAAAATTTCTTTAAAAAAACATATTCATTGAACGTAAAAATTAAAAGTCAATTAATAAAAAGATATCCAATTTAAATGAAAATTTTAGAGTAAGTGTATTTTGACCTCTAAACAACTTTACTTAAGTGATTTTAATCAATTTACATAGTAAAATTTGGACTTTACTATGTAGTGACTATTGGCAATCGACTAAAAATCACTTTAACCCAAAAATAAGTATAAACTTTATTCAACATTAAACTCTGTAACTGATATGAGTCACATGATAGTTCGTTATATAGAAATG